GTCCAGCTCCATTTGTTCCTGTTGTGTTGGTGCAAGTTTGGAGCAGTGGTGTCAGTTAGAGGTGCGGGTGTTATCTGACAACCAGCCGCTGTGGGAGAAATCGGGCAGTCAATCCCTCCAGATTAATGACATCTAATCTCCACCCGCTCCGCTGACAGATTAAACATTTCATCAACTCAGAACATTTTAGACAAATGAACGATTAAATATGCAAACCTATAGGTATTAGGTTATTTTGAAGCATATATTTTTGTTATTTTATATTATTTATTTATTACTGTTTTTTTATTATTTTTATTTTTCATGAAAAGAGAGGTATGGAATTCATAATCCTACAATCCAGATTCACTCCACCCAGCTTTAATGACATCATCTCTTATATAACCATCATGCGAGTGCTTGTTTTAAGACTTTTAATGCCAGTCAGTTCACAAGCAATGCAAAAGCTGGGCAATGTCCACAGCTAAATCAAGATTAACATTCATTTTGGTGTTTTTTTTTGTCATGTGTTAAAATAGTTGAAACGTAAAGGGAATTTAAATAACATCACAGAAATGAACCCTGCTGAAACCCTCAAAATGATTTACTTTTACTCACTTAAAGTGGATCTTAAAGCTTTTTCCTTTAGTTTAGAAGCAGGTGCACAGTGAACTGAACAGTCTTTTTATATGATCATTATTGTTTATTGTTCATCATAAGCACACACACTAACTAAAGTCAATGCACTAAAAAGCTGGCATTCAACTTAAATCCTCTCCCTTTCCCAACCCACCCAATCTGTCAGTAGGAATTGTTTCTCTGTGATGCAATCCATGCCTTTGGGAAGATAACATTGAACGGCCAATCACAGCAGAGCTTGTGGGAGGAGCAAACACTGTGCATTCATCCTAAGCCAATGGCGTAGCCTGGTAGACGTGGTTTGGCTTTAGCCAGCCGCCCCTTCGTGACATCACAGCTGTTGCTCGGGCACGGGCAGTGAGAGTGCAGTGCACTAGGCGTAGGGACGGCGAGCAGTGCATTCATTTAGGGAGGGGGGCTAGAGAAAGGGAAGGGGATCTGTTGTGCTATTCAGCCATCAGGCTCTGGTGAAATCTCACAAAACAACAATGGAACCTGCCTGAGAAGCATCAACTCTGCTTTTTCGTGTAAGTGTGCTTCCTCTTTAACCCTAGTGCGTTTGAGTGTTGCAGTGTGCACGTGAACGGTTGTCATTGTGTTGTGCGTGTTCACTGGAGCAGAGAGAGCTGTGGCTTTGAAAGGGAAGAATGCTTTTGTTTCTGTCTCCTGTTTCACATCTGGTCAGAGTTGGTCTGAGGTTTTGGAACTTTCTCGTGCTTCTCTCTGTGTCATGCTGTTCACACCTATTCTGATCTTTGAAGAGCAGTTAGAATGTGTTTTGGGGCAAATATCCTTTTTTAACTATAAAACTATAACTTTTGGATGTCTAGGTCATGAGTTTAGCATCCCATGGAATGTTTGGGGATGTCGGAAGCCGCTGTGTTTGAAAGGTGTGTGTGCCATGCACACAGTGACGTGTGGGAGTGCATGTGGGATAATTTTGTAAGTGGCGGCATGAGACAATTGCTGATTGTTGTTGGCTTCTTTTTTTTTTAACAATGACATAGTGTTTGGTTTCTCGATTGTGGCTGTATCTGGGTCAGGATTGCTGACCGGTGGCTTGGACCATAAGATCTTGCAGATATTGTTTTCTTGGAACAGGTGGAGTTATGCCAGTCAGCTTTTAGAGCAAAACTCTTTGCTTTGGTTGGAATGCATGTGGGTCAGTGACATAACACACTTATATGTGTGTATGCTGTGTAGAATTATTTTGTATATATAAATACATAGGCATGGATGTATATATTTTAGAATTATTTTCATGTAAATACTGTATATATGTAAATACATAATCTATATTATATATATATATATATTTTATATATGAATAACACATTTTCTTAAATATATACATGCAAGTGTGTGTATTTATATATACAAAATAATTATACACAGCACACACACATATATTATGTAAACACAAACTTTTATTTTGGATGCGATTAATCGCAATGAATCTTTGCACAGCCCTAATATATATATATATATATATATATATATATATATATATATATATATATATTTATTTATGTTTAAAAAAGGTTATAATTATATATCTATATCCCCCATCTAAAAATACATTTAAAAAGTTTTTACACACACACACACACACACACATATATATATGTATATATATATATATATATATCCCCAATCTAAAAATACATTAAAAAAACGTGTTTGTGTGTGTGTGTGTGTTTTTGTGTCTATATATATATATATATATATACACACACACACACACACACACATACATATATATATATATCTTATTACGATAATATAACTGTCCTGATATTCTAATTGAGAAAAAAGTAAAAAGTAGATTGGCTATTATTAGTTTACTATGCATGCACTATGTATAATAAAACTGCTTCATTGATTTTTAATATTATAATTTGTTTGCCTGCCCATTCAAAATCATGAGGTCCAACCAAAATGCAGAAAAAAAACATAAAAAGGAAATTATGTCATATAGAGGACCCCTGCAGACCCTCATGTGTTAGGGTCAATAAGTTACTAATGGTGAATTAACGACTGACTAAAAAAAAAATGATAATGCATACTAATGTGAGTGTACATGTCACATTAGTACGCATTATCATGCTGATTAGTTTTTCAAAAGATGTTTGTCATATATAGTTTGTTATATGTCATAGATCATGTAGCGACGGCAGAAAAGGTTGTGCACTTATTATTGTAAATTGCATTTTTATTCCCATGATAATGAATTCTACATGTCAGTGTGTATTTGATCTCCTGTCAGCCCAGATACCTGCTCTGGCTCCTCTTTCTGTGTTGTGCACAAGAATGTCAGCCCTCCGCTGCTGGACGTGACCCCTTATTAAGCTTACCCCAGTGAGACCTGCGTCTAAATATAGCCTGCATACATCAACACATCAGAACTGAAAGGATGAGGGGGGTTAGGGGAAGGAGGATTTTAGAAGACGGGAGAAGGGAACTAATATCAGCTATGTTTACCGCTCTCATTTTACCATCACTCATACGTCAGTCCTGTAGAAGTAACAGAGCAATTCTGGGACCAGAGGGCAGAGACATTGAAGTAAACTGAGAGCAAAACACTCACTGTCAAAACATGACAGAGAGCAGAAGTGAGAGACTGAAAGAGTGATAATGAATCTGGCATGCAAACTGCTCAGACAGAGAGACTTTCCTGAATGAAGGCCTTATTTTATGTTTTAATATGAGGTATGAATATTGCATCTTATTTGTATGGGAGAGTGTGTTAAGATGCGTAGCCCAGATGCGTCACCCCAGTGGTTAGTTCATCCAAAAATGATAAAAGAAATGTCATTACTTTCTCACCACCCTCATGTCGTTCCAAGCCCTTTTTAAGAAACCCTTTGATATTTCTGTCACTCCATTGAGAGTTTATGCAACTATCACTTTGTAACTTTAAAAAGTTAATTAAGAGATTTTAAAACGAATCCTTATGAATCGATTGATTTAGTCCCAATTTTCTGAAGAGACTGGATTATCTCGAAAGTCATACTCCAACAACCTGAAAATTACTTGATTTTACTTTCAATTCCTGTTACATTCTCCAAGGATTAACATTAACATTTTTCCACTCCATGTAGGATGTTTCTGTACATAAATGTAAGCACTGTGGCAGTAGTAATGCAATATTTAGAAAATGTACTCTTGTACTCTTGATACTCACTTACTTTTAAAATCAAGTACTTTTACTTAAGTAGAGATCTGACTGTAGTACTTTTACTTGTGCTTGAGTAAAATTTAGCAAGGGCTATCTGTACTTTTACTCAAGTAATGAACCACTCTGTCTCCCTCTGGCCCTAGTTGTTTTCTTTTACATCCTGAAATAGCATTAAACCTGACATATTAGTTTTTCCCCCATCTCATATCTCTTTGCCTAGAGGACAAATAAAGTAAGCAGGAGCATGTAATGGCCTCAGCAGTAGCTCAAGTCCTTGTATAATTACTTATCTGTCTGCCTGCTGTTGTTGCGGCTCATGTGGAAAAGTGGCATGAAAATTGTCAACATTTATTTGCCGCCCTCCACAACTGTGTAATGCAATTTTCCATGCTCTTGTCTTCTTCTTTGCTCAGCAGAATAATGGTTTGGTAGCAGCTCCTCTTATTTCACTCTCACGTTTTCTTTTTCATATAGGAGTTTGTCTTCTCTTGCCACCTCAATATCTCTTTAAAGAAATAGTTTAGCCCAAAAATTAATTATTTGTAGAGGTTTCTTTTTCTCCATTGAAAGTCCAGGTAACCACATTTTAAAAGATACAAAAAGGCCATAAAGACGTCATAAAACAAATCCATATTAATTGAGCGGTTATGATTGCTTTGTATGATGAACAGATTTAATTTAGGCTTTTATTTACACCGACAATGATCGAAAGACAACAATTTGTTCATCATATAAAGGGATTATATCTCTTTACAAGACTTGGACTTACTGCAAGACTTTCTGGGCTTTCAATGGACGGATGGACAGAAAGTTTAATAAGTCAATCAAATATCTGTATTGGTTGATTCAAAGATTAACCAATCTTATGGGTTTGGAACGACATAATTTATGAATTACGACCGAATTTTCATTTTTGGGTGAACTATCCATTTAAAGGCCAATTCACACTATACCGACAGATATAGAGGTCACTGACCAATGGCAACAGTCACTTTGTCCAATCAGTGTTACCCCTATCGGCGTCTTTTGGTCTTGGTTATGGCTTGAGAAGTGACGTACTGTAATCTTTTGATCGTCCGCGCTGGTTGGCATCTGTCGGTGCAGTGTGAATGGGCCTCTTTATCATTTCAAATTTAAAATGATGAAACATTGTGGGGTTTTTTCCAGTTGGAAGACTAATAACTCGGCATCATCTTCATTTCAGGTTAAGGTGTGTCCTGGCCCTCGGCCCTCTCTGTGGATGTCTGTCACCATGGCGAAGTTTGAGACCGGCCGCACAAGCCCAGTGGTGCGCCAGATAGACAAGCAGTTCCTGGTGTGTAGTATCTGTCTGGATCACTACCACAACCCTAAAGTACTGCCCTGCCTGCACACCTTCTGCGAAAGGTCTGTATTTGTTGCTTAGTTATGTTTTATTAACAAAGTTCGGGAGGAACACGTTCAAAAGATCTATCCAATCATCACGTCATTCAAACCAGCAATCAGTAATCAACATGTCTACCAAATCAGCATACTGTAAGCGGAGGCATATATATACACAGTTGCCAAACCTATGTTCCTCATCAGTTTTTAGCATCCCTCCACCACCCCGTCTCCACACTCACCTGGTTAATTCCTAACCAGAAATACAATGGGGAGGAGAATGACGCGAGCCACACTTGAACTCATATTTCCCAGATGAGCACCAGAGCACAAGGCCACAGCTCTGGCATGAGATTACAATGACCGATTACATAACTTGGACACCACAGCACCGCCCCCACCGTCATTTAGTTATTTATAGTAATAAAAATAAATTAGTTAAGTTAGAGAACTGACCCTACAATTAAAAACTGAACACGGCTGCTCAATTTAGTGCAACTCGTGAGCCGAACAGATCAGCAGCAGGAGTCAGATTTAATTCATCACGTGACGAGAGTGAGTGACAATATGAAATGTAAAGGCACCTACTTAAGCAAATATGTAATTGCACTGTTTTGAAATGTGATACCGGTGTTGTCACGCGTTGATTAATCGGTGGGCAATTTTCCTCACCATCACATCCCTAGCCTGAGCATATTAGAATTAGTCCTCACTGTTTTAATAACATGCTTAATGGTTGAAGCATAGATCAGTTGTAAACCTTAGGACCGTGGGGTTGAATGTCAGTGGAGTGTTTCCACTGTGATTGTTCATGTTGTGACTGAAATTTCAGCAACACTTGCCCTCCTAGCCTTCTCGCTCTCACACTGTCCCGCAGAGGTACATCATTTATGATATTTTTTTACATTTGATCACATTTACAGTAAAACGGTAACATTATGGACTATTGTTACATTTTGAAATAATTGTTTCCAATTTTGAAATGCAATTTATTCCTGTGATGCTAAGCTGAATTTTAAGCATCATTACTCCAGTCTTCAGTGTCACATGATCATTCAGAAATCATTCTAATATGATTTGCTGCTTAAGAAACATTTCTTAATTTTATATCGTTGTTAAAACAATTCTTAATACTTTATTTTTGTTCAGGATTCAAAAGCAGCATTTCTTGGAATATATATATATATATATATATATATATATATATATACAGTATATATATATATATGTAAACATAGAAATATCTTTACTGACGGTTTAAAGCTTCATTAATAAATAAGTATTAATTTCTTTTAAAAAAATTAATCCTTTTGAAATGTAGTGTATGTTAATGGATCTGTTTTTTAAAGATAGATTTACATTGAAGGCGATGTTAAAATGCATCATATACCTATTTAAATAGATAGTTCACATAAAAACTGAAATTCTGTCATCATTTACTCACCCTCTGATCTTTGTCAAGCCTGTATGTCTTATTTTCTTCAGTAGAATACAAAGGGAGTTATTTATAGCATAATACAGACACTAAATTTCAGTTGTTTCCTCACACAAAGATATCGTATGACTCTAGAATATAGTGCATGAGTCGTATGGATTACTTTCATGATGGTTTTTAGTATTTAGTTTTTAGTCCTTTTTGGTCCCCATCCACTAATGTTAGGAAAACCCCAATGTGAACATTCTTCAAAATATTTCCTTTTGTGTTCCACAGAAGAAATAAAGGTTTGGAACAACATGAAGAGAGTTAAAAATAGCGACTGATAATTGTGGTTGATTGATTTAGTTTGAGGTTGTTAATCACGTCCGTCCTACTCTTTATATCACAGGTGCCTACAGAACTACATTCCCTCTCAGTCTTTGACACTGTCCTGCCCGGTGTGCAGACAGACTTCCATCTTGCCTGAGAAAGGTGTGGCAGCACTACAGAACAACTTCTTCATCACAAACCTCATGGAGGTGCTGCAGAGAGACCCAGAATGTTCTCGACCGGAGGCCTGTAGCGTACTGGAGTCTGTCAGCGCAGCAGCCGCTGGGAAACCGCTCTCCTGTCCCAATCACGAGGGCAAAGTAAGCCTCTTACCATCTGATGATGAAACCACATTTGGCAATACTTGGTGGGAACATGGAGAAAAGACGAGTTTGTAGGGAAAATCGTGGCTGCAAGGGGTTGGGAATTCCTTTACCATGCCTGATTTCTCTACATTTAAGACTATTTTATATTGGCAGGGGCTGCTGTGTCACTACCAGCTTCTTTCCTTTATGTGTCTTCAAAGTCATAATACATGTGCTGTTCAGGCCTGTTAGCATACATTAGATCTCTTTGATAATCCATTAGTATGCTTAATGAAAGGGTTGCTCACTGCTGCCCCTGCAGGTGATGGAGTTTTACTGCGAGTCGTGTGAGACGGCCATGTGCCTGGACTGCACAGAGGGGGAACACCGGGAGCATGTGACCGTTCCACTGCGGGATGTTCTAGAACAGCACAAAGCAGTGCTAAAGAACCAGCTGGATGCTATACGCAACAGGTACATACAGTATAATAGACAGCTCTTACATACAGTTCATCACTTCAATAATAACAACAGGGCACACTACATACATATTGCTTCAAATACATTATTATTATAAAAATGTTATATTCAAAAACATTACATAATAATAAGAGTAATGTTTTTTAATTATTATGTATTTGTTATTTAAATTATTTGAGATATTATTAAAATTGAGGAAAATTCATATAATTATATTTAGAAAATAAGAACATGTGTGTTATCAAACTTGTATATTTAAGTTCAGTAATATCACTTAAATAACAATTAATAGGTAATTATCATTGCCATTTAAGTGAAATTACTGAACTTAAATATACAAGTTTGATAAAAATCATCATTAAAGAAGAAAATTTAAAATGGCATTTAGAGGCTTTTGCATCTGAACTCTTCATATATATATATATTAGGGCTGTGCAAAAATTAATTGCGATTAATCGCATCCAAAATAAAAGTCTGTGTTAACATAATATATTTGTGTGTGCTGTATATAATTATTTTGTATATATAAATACACACACATGCATGTATATATTTAAGAAAATGTGTTATTCATATATAAAATATTTATATTTATATTTATATAATATAGATTATGTATTTATATATATACAGAATTTAAGCGCAAATAATTCTTAAATGTATACATGCATGCCTAGGTATTTATATATACAAAATAATTATATACAGCACACACAAATATATTATGTAAACACAGACTTTTATTTTGGATGCGATTAATCACAATTAATTTTTGCACAGCCCTAATATATATATATATATATATATATATATATATATATACACACACACACCCTTTTACTAGTGACTAAATGTAAAAAAAAATTAAGCTTGATGATTGCTGCCTGTTTTCCAAATTACTTGGCTTTTTTCCAAACTTTCTCTGATGAAATCTGTTCTTTTTAATTCGGTCAGGCTGCCCCAACTAACAGCGGCCATTGAGCTTGTGAACGAAATCTCTAAACAGCTGATCGAGAGGAAGAACGAAGCAGTCAATGATATCAACATGACATTCGAGGAGCTCGAGAAGGCACTGCACCAACGCCAGGCTGCGCTCATCACCGACCTGGAGAACATTTGTAGCACCAAGCAGAAGGTCAGAAATGTCCTGATATGTTAAACAGGTTTTACTCCTACTGTATTTCTCTAACGCTCCTTTCTGCTGTGTTCTCTGCAGGTGCTTCAGGCACAGTTATCCTGTCTTCTGCAAGGAAAAGAGCACATCCAGAACAGCTGCAGTTTCACTGAGCAGGCCCTGAACCACGGCAGCGCCACCGAAGTCCTGCTGGTCCAAAAGCAGATGAGTGAGCGGGTGAGCGCCCTAGCCTGCCACGACTTCCCCGAACGGCCGCACGAGAACGCCCACTTGGACTGCCAGATAGAGACCGAGGGTTTGCGACGCTCCATCCAGAACCTGGGCGTCCTGCTGACGACGGGCGCCGTGGGACACACCAGTGTGGCAACGGGAGAAGGGCTCAGACACGCCCTGGTCGGTCAGCACGTGACTGCAACTGTTACCACTAAGGATAAGGACAGTGATCTTGTGCGGACCGGTAACGCGGACCTCAGAGGGGAGATAACGGGGCAGGACGGAGTGCGGGCGGTGGAGGTGGAGGTCGTGGACAATAAAAACGGAACGTATGAGGTAGGGTACACGATTAAGAGCGAAGGGGAGTACTCGTTCTCTTTGATGCTTTATGGACAGCCCGTGCGGGGCAGCCCGTTCAGACTGCGGGCGATAAAGCCGTCAGATGTGCTCCAGTCTCCGGATGATGTGAAGAGGAGGGTTAAATCTCCTAGCGGGACAGGAGGACACATCAGGCAGAAAGCCGTACGGAGACCCTCCAGCATGTACAGCACCACCAAAAAGAAGGAAAACCCCATAGAGGATGAGCTGATTTACAGAGTGGGTAAGAAACAATGGATAAAAAAAAATGTGTGTGCACAATAAGAAGTTAGGCATATTTAATTGTTGTTAAATATTATTTTGATTTTTTGAATTTCCTTTGTCTGACCCCTCAGGCTCTCGGGGGAGGGAGAAGGGAGAGTTCACTAATCTACAGGGCATCTCTGCTTCCACTAATGGGAGGGTCATTGTAGCGGACAGCAACAACCAGTGTATACAGGTTAGTCGATATATTATACAGTAAAAGCAATATTAATGTTCATTTCTAAAGCAATTTAGTGGATATTAAAGTAATGAACCAATGTGTCAGTAATCTTACTTCAGTGCAAAATTTGATCATCTGTTTGTTTTTATGAAGGTGTTTACTAATGATGGCCTGTTCAAAGCACGGTTTGGGGTCAGAGGTCGTTCCCCAGGACAACTGCAGAGGCCGACAGGAGTGGCAGTCGACACGAATGGAGACATTATTGTAGCTGATTATGATAACAGATGGATCAGCATCTTCTCCCCTGATGGGAAATTCAAGGTAATGTTTAACATCATAATTTACAGTTTATATATATATATATATATATATATATATATACACACATACATATGTGTGTGTGATTCCAGTATACCCTACGTTATGGGGACAAAACATTAATATCTGAAAACATTTTTTTTTTGGCATGAGGAAAACGGCTTATAAATCATACTAAGTGATGTGTAAATAGGAAGTGTAAAAATGCTGAAAGTGTTCTGTGATGGATTGGTTCAGGGTTAGGGGATAGAATATACAGAAAATATAAAATCATTATGTGTATGCTATGTCCCCATAAAACATTAAAAACCAACCATGTGTGTTTGTGACAGGAAAGACTATACTGTTACAAAAAATGTATATTTAAAATAAATCCTATTGTTTTGAACTTTCTGTTCATCAAAGCAGTGACTTTTTTATTTTATCACAGTTTCCAAAAAAAGATTTAAGCAGCATAACTCAAGCAGTACAATCCTAAAATAATATGACTTCAAGTATACATTTAAATTATGCATTTAAAAGTATGTCATTTTTTTTTTTTTGTTTCTTGCCCAATGTAAATAATTTTTCTTAAAGGGATACTCCACTTTTTTTGGAAATAGGCTCATTTTACAACCCCCCCAGAGTTAAACGTTTGAGTTTTACCGTTTTCGAATCCATTCACCCGGTATTCTGAGATTTAGAAGAATATCAGTAACGAGACAGTTTCTGGTCCCATTGACTTCCATATTATTATATATTTTTTCCCACTATGGAAGTCAATGTGACCAGAAACCATTCTGGTTACTGATATTCTTCTAGATATCAGAATATCGGCTGAATGGATTCGAAAACGGTAAAACCCAACTGTTTAACTCTGGGGGAGTTGTAAAATGAACCTATTTCCAAAAAAAGTGGAGTATCCCTTTAAGAAAAATTATTTACATTGGGCAAGAAACAAAAAAAATGACATACTTTTAAATGCATAATTCATTTAGCAGTTTTAGCAGTCACTTTTATCCAAATCAACTTACAAATGAGGAATATAAGAGTAAGTCGAAATAGTGAAAACAGAAAAATAGGTTGTTTTGTTTGTTTTTTAAGTCAGCGGGATGCAGTTAATGAAATCAAAATTGACTTTATTTGCTTTGTTAGCGCACATTACTAGTCTTGTGGTGAACAATGAATCAGTGTAAGTTAATACAAAGAAAAAAAATAGTTTGTCATGGTAATCTTTGATGAAAATTTGAAATGTTGCTTTCGCTCTGGAATCGTGTTCCTTCTCTTGTGACGTCAGTTTGGCGGCTTTAACCACTTCCTTCCAACTGTCAGTCTCCTATGAGCGACGGATAGAGAGGAGGTGGTCTAAAATAAAACCCCGCCTCTATTCAATATTAGTTTCTCTTGGAAATACATCACAACAATGAAGTAAAGTCGATCTGTGGCAACTTCCGTTTCACTGGGACTTTGATTGTACATGGAAGAGATACGTTTTCCGTTGTCTCTTGAAAATTGTCAAGAATTCGGCTACTCTGAATACATATTCCTAAGAGCTGTTTAATAAAGTCACTTCTCTCTATGTCTGTGCCACATGCAGAATAAGATCGGTGCTGGCCGTCTGATGGGACCCAAAGGAGTGGCTGTGGACAGGAACGGTCATATCATCGCAGTGGATAATAAAGCTTGCTGTGTGTTCATCTTTCAGTCTAATGGCAAACTAGTGACCAAGTTTGGAGCCAGAGGCACTTCAGACAGACAGTTCGCAGGTACCACAATGCTCATAAACCCAACGTTAAATAATGTAATGTGGTTTGTGGTGGTTAACCTAAGCACTAAAGTGTCGTTGGCGCCCACTTTTGTGTGCTGTGACTGCTTGTCTTCTAACATCTCTTCCTAATACCTCATTTGTCCAGCTCAGGAACTCTTTTCGTGACCAAAACTGTTGCAATTCATGAACATCTTTAAAGAAACAAGAGTCACTACAAAAGCAACTAAGAACCATTCTGGGAAGACAAACGGCGCAAAAGGCCGGTGTTTTTTTTACAGAAAAGGCCAGATTTACACAGGCTTCAGTTCCAGTGTCCAAAAGGATGTGAACCTTTATATTTCCCCTAGCTCAGTTCTGTTCCTGTTTAACTTTAGCATAAGCCATATTTTCATTTGCATTATCTGTCTATATGATAAATAATGAAGACCAATGCATGCATACATGAATGAGCCTATATTCTTTCTATGATACTGATAGATACACAAAGTTACACGTTTTTTGAAGCTCGGCCAACACTTTCTTTCTGCTGCTTACTTTACTATTAAATACATCAATCCCTTTTCCTAACCCTTTTAAGCAAGTGAATGTGGCTTGCGGACTGTTTTGGGATGTGCACCTCTAGAAAGTCTTCCATTTGTTTTTTTTGGTCTGCTTCATGTTTGTTCCAGCACTCAAGGATGATTTGCATCCTTGCTCCATTTGAAATGAAGCAGTTTTTGTGCTTTTTTTGTCTCAATCCCTTCTTTTCTGTCATTTATTTGTCTCTGCTTACCCTTGTTTGTGTTTTTCCCATTCCTTTTTAGAAAAAAGTGGTGCAAAGTTTGCACTGGAGCAAAAGTTTAGTAAATCTGGCCCTGGGTTCAGTAAGTATTGAGTGAATTCTCATCCCAGAATGTGGTGATTTTATCTTTTTGAAATTAAGTTTCATTTTAGCACTGGATTCAAGATCAAATGATTTTGTGCTTTGTATTTCTAATCAATGTTGGCAAAAATTAAATTGTTCCATGTGGATTAAGGCTTTTATCCAAGACTTGAAATTAATACCCGCTAACCCACCAAATGCGGGTACAAATCAACTATGGTGGGTAACGCTGTCAAATCACTTGCCAATTTGATTATATCTTTGCTGGGGAAGTTCGTGTACAAAATACTCAACTTGTGAGTCATCATAATATATCACATACAGCATATATCTGGCTTACTTGAACATGCCCGTCACTATGCAACAAATAATGGCGCACGCTTGTACATTTGCATTAAAGCAATAGCGAAGATTAAAAAGCATTTGGTTAACAGAAAAGACATTGTTATTTTCTAACATCCTAAAATTTTAGCATAACCTGCTTGTCCTGAGGCCACAGGTTTGTTTTGTTCCGCGTGGTGTTTGATGTGCATTGTACTGTATTGATCTGTCCGCCTAATATACTTTTTTTTGGTTAAAACTTTTTTCAGGATTTTGTTTGAGTAAGAAATGAATGTATGAAATCCAAATTTTACATATATTATTTAGGCAAGGTGAAGTTTTGAATGGCCAATAACTTAAATTTAGTAGCCAAATTGACGGTGAGTGGAAAAAGTTCATTTCAAACCCTGCTTACATACATATTACATCACGAGATCTATCTAATCCGCTATAAGATTTTGATCACATGATATCCCTGCTCTCCTCTCCGCTCTTTTTCTGTGTCTTTATCACGTCTGAATCTTTCTTCTCCCCCATTTCTCTCTGTTTTCTCGCATGCAGGCCCGCACTTTGTTGCTGTCAACAACAAGAATGAAATTGTGGTGACAGACTTTCATAACCACTCCGTCAAGGTGAGTGTATCTCATGGTCGTTCTTACAATTTTCACCTGGCGGACAATAAACTGGGGGGAACAAAATCCCATAAACTTGAACCATATCTAGAGACCAGATATATACAGTACACATTTTTTTTGTATTTTAAATTACTTTTTTTCCACCTCAATCTACACTCCATACACCATAATGAATATCAAAGGGGTGGTTGATTATGATTTCAATTTTCTAACTTTAGTTAGTGTATAATGTTACTGGTTGAGCATAAACAACATATAAAGTTACAATGCTCAAAATTTAGCAAAGGGAGATATTTGCTTGTAAAGAAATAGCTTTTTAAGGACTACAACAAACGGCTGGTAGGGACTTCACAGCATTCCTCCTGGGTTCCTCCACCCTAAAATGTACATGAACCCCGTCCCCGGGAAAACAGTCCAGTCCATGTTGAGAAGAGTGAGTCTGTCATTAGTGAGTCTGTCACATTCGTCTTTTCATATTTATTACAATCCGGTACATTACACAAATGCAATAGCATGTCACTCTAGGAATATTACAACAGTTCCCCCCACATGAGCGGATTTATAGATTATCCTGACAAAATATGCCAACTAAAGACTTGAAGACAGTTAAAGTTACAATATGTTAGAATTTTGTAATAAAATATCCAAATATCACTTGCATAGTGTGATATTTTTCCTGCAGTTGTGTACTTACAGTATCCCAAAAGAGAATTTCAGAGATATTCCAATTTTAAATAAGTGGCCATCCCGAAAAAAAAATTTCGTCAGCAATAATTAATTTAACACTTTAGTTGGGATCCATTTCTCACTATAAACTAGTTGCGTATTAACATGCATATTACTTGGATATTTGCTTTTTATTAGTACTTATAAAGCAAATATTAATACCTTATTTGGGATGACCATATACATGCCTTAATCCTACTCAATACCTAAACTACTAACTATAAATAAGCAGTAATTAGGAGTTTATTGAGGCAAAATGTATGTATCTGTCATGTGATTTAAAAATGGCTGCCCCCATGAGGTTATCTGTTCCATAAAAAGAACAAATTATTTTTATTAGGCTACTGACATAAATATAATAAAAGGATTATTCATTTCCTATACTTAAATGATGGGAGAAATTACAGAATGCATGTTTTATTGTAAAACATTGTATTTTATTTAATATGGGTGATACAAATGTGCATTTCCTCAGGTCTACAGTGCAGATGGGGAGTTTTTGTTTAAATTTGGGTCCCATGGAGAGGGAAACGGCCAATTTAATGCACCCACAGGGGTCGCTGTTGATGTTAACGGCAACATCATCGTAGCAGACTGGGGCAACAGCAGAATACAGGTACTAAATCCTCTAAACATCCACTTCCTCTTTACAAATTCTCCAAGAAATAAGTCATTTCAGTAGCACTTTTTTTTTTAAGATGACAGTCTCTGCAATACAATTATTTTTTTCTCTCAGGTGTTTGATAGCTCAGGCTCATTTCTCTCCTACATCAACACAACTGCTGACCCACTGTATGGGCCGCAGGGTCTCGCTTTAACCTCCGACGGCCATGTCGTGGTGGCCGATTCTGGTAACCACTGCTTCAAAGTCTACCGATACCTGCAGTAACCCCTTAGGCACTGCCACGGGGTGACACAAACTCTCCTGCAACTTCGGTTCACCACAGTTCGCATAGTCATATCAGCGAAACCCTCAGCCAAACCAGAAAGAAAGAATCGAAGGTACAAAAAGCACTTTTCTTTAATCTTCTACTGATTTTCATGTTCCAAAACAAAAAAATACTTCTGTACTAAACCAGGAATGTTGATTGTAAATAACAGAAACCATATCTATAAGCACAGATTCTTATTAGAAATCATGCAAGTTGTGTATAAATAAAAAGTGTATGTATATATACCCACACAGACATTTTGTTAATTGCATCTTGAACCAAGATTATTTCCAAGATTCCTTTCCCATCTCGGTGATTAACCTTCCCATGACTGCAACAGTTGTGTATTTGAATTCTGTTACATTCTGCATTTGTAAATATATACAAATTGATGTACATATGAACATAATTGGTGTATGTAATATGTAAATGACTCTGGTTTCTTGTATTGTCAGCATTTACCAGTGGGATTTCATTATACCCAAGCTATTCCGTGAGTGTTTTCAGCCAACTGGGTGTTTAAATCATTTAGACTGAACATCTGAGCTGATTATCCCTCACAGATATCAAGAGCACAGGAAGTGATGTGTATCCCTGCTGTGCTCTCTCTCTGTCTGTCTATCTCACACATAAAAAATAATCAAATCAATTAACAAAAGAAGCTAAAAAAAGGACATATTTTTTTCCATTCCAAATTATTTATTTTTCTAAAGCACAAGGCTACTTTACGTGTTGAAAAATCCAACAAGCAAATAGAAATATAATCAAACCCAAGTATTTCAAGTATCGGCCTGTTGTCTCCGTTTTTTAATGTTCTATAAAGATGATCAGCTGTATGGAATTATATCTCTTTCTGTAAATAATCATGCAGATGCCAGATGTTCACAGTGTAGCAACCAAATGTTGTCTTTAGTCAGTATTAGTTTGTTCATTTGTCTATTTATTTAATGTTTTGTACACATTTTCCTGAATAATTTGTGTCCATCACCAGCGAATGATTTCAAATCACCTCCCTTTAATTGTGTGGATATTTCCTTTGTCTCTTTGAAGGTTTATGTGACACCATGTCTCCTTAATAGGCTACTTGCTCTATGTGATACTGTAAGGTTAATGAACGGTGGCTCACAGCTGAAACGGTGAACGTATATCTTATATCTGTGCAAGTAATGTTTTTGCATGTTAATGATTTTACCAGCAGTCTGAATACGGTTTCTGCAGCAGAGATACTTGTAATGATTTGCTATTGCCAGGCTGGAAATAAAAAATACTTTAATAGCCAAAAACAAATGTTCTACACTGGATATTAATTTAGAATATATGCAAATTGCAAGTTGATAATTCGCCATTAAAAAGAAAATAGTGTTTTTTTTCTTATTGTTAAGTATATCCGAGTGAAACAGCTTCTCGGACAACACAACTTGTAGGGCGGGACTTGATTCTGTGCCTTTGGAATTGATTGGATGGTTGGGGTTTGCTATTGCTGTGATGTCATGTGAGTGACATGTTGTCCCGCCCTCACGCCAGTAAATACATCATCGGAGATGTTTTGATTAAAGGTTACAATGGCACATTAACCCCCTCAGACCTGAATTATGTTTCAAGTTTCTGAAAAATATAAAAGTACATTTTCCCAGCTCATGAGGTTTCTATAAATGAAAACAAGTGAAAAAAAAATTATATAATTGCTTTCATTGTGATTTTTTTTTTTTGTCCATTCCAATGGACATCAGGTCAAAACAGGTGTACTTCCCAAATATGTACCAACATAAAATAAATTAATAAACATAAAATTTGTTGGTCTATACTTTAAGCTTTTTCTCAAGGTCAAAAAAATTCCAGCAGTATACCATTTCAACTATAATTTTGAGGTTTTTGGTTTACAGATTGCACATTGTTTGTAACAAACTAAATATATTCGAATCAATCGATCTGGTCATATTAAAGTCATTTTCTGTGTGCATCTTTCTTTTTTTAGAACAAAAACTTGAACATTATAACATCACAACTTTAATCGTAAGGTTTTTCCTTCATATTGCACATATGTTTATTCATAACAAAATAAACCTATAAACCTAGGAATCAATCAATGCATTCGTGTTAGAGTCATTTCCTGTGTGCATCCTGTGTTTTCTTGTATTTTTACAGTACTGGCAGGACGGTTGCCAGCAAGTCACTGTATTTCGATTTTTCCAGTAACTCTAGCTAGTCCAAGGCTGAAAAAAAGGTCCATTCCGTCCTTGGCAGACGAGCGCGCCGACCCCCCGAAATTTTTTGGGGACCGGCCGAAGGCGCCCCCTGGGCCTCACCACACAAACCAATGATCTTTATATTTTCTGTTTTGTCATCATAATTGTCATGTACTATGGTATCTTTCCATGATCTTGCATCATGTAATAAGTTTAAATTATATGAGCAACAGGTGCACTAACACTTTATAACATCAATAATTCAACAGCACAACCTAGAACAGTTTTCCCCTGCGTTTGTAATGTCTGCACAAAGGAGACGGGCAGCTGCTCGAAGATCTCTTTTGGAGAAAACTGTTGATTTTATACTAAAAAAAATGTAAGTATCACTCCTTAAAAAATTAATATTACCTCAGAATGAATTGCATTGTCAGCCCACCCCAAAACTTAAACAAAATAATAATATTAAATGCTGACCAATACTTAATTATGTAACTTTTTTATATACTAAAAATACAATTTAATATAACAAGCAAAATGTCATTTGTTTTGTCATATGACATACTGTAGTTATGCATGAATACATTTATATTGCTAAATGCAGTGAAACATCTCAATTGTCAGTCAATCGATTAATTAATGTATACATCATTTAAATAATTACAGTATATTTTATGTACGGACTAACGGACAACAATAAGAAACATGAATAAATGAGTAAAAGAACAAATAAAAGTAACCAGCACAATAAACAAATGCATACAAGTCAACAACACGTGAAACAATGCTTTATTCAAGCATGTATTTGCAGGCCCTGAACCCCAAACCCTACTGCCATCTCAACTCAGCGGTTCCCATTGTGCGGCTTTATTCTGCAGAATTCACCACAGGTGACTGTGCCTTCGTCCCAGAGCTTATTGCTGCGCTTCACAATCTGAGGCAATAAGGGCAGATGAAGAGATGGAGGGACTCATCCATGGCACCACTTCCAGGATTCAGCTATGAGCTCCTCCTCCTCAGTGCTCACACCAGTCTGCAGACATTTCAGATCCTACAAAAATGCACAAACATTACACAAAAGCAGTCATTTTAACAGCACAATGCCATTTGATTGATTTATGTATTAAAATAACATTACTTACTAATCCCTAAAACCCTTTTTTTTTTTTCAAAATTATTTTTAAAATTGTTGTTTGGTTTTATCAGTTTCAAGAAGCAATCTTTTATCCAACTATGGTAACAAAAGAGCTAATAATCTGTTGATATATTTTTGTATACATACACTATGTGTGTATCATATATTTATATTGAGGGCTTGGAGCAAGTGGCTTTTAACAAACTTTACAGGAGAGACAAAACAAATTTTTGACCACACTTCAATCACCTGTATTTTTAAATGACAAACATTGCAACCACAGGCATACTTACATGAATGAGTATTTAAGTAAAAAATGTATGGCATGTTAACACAATGAACATGTTCTAAAACATATTCATAAAATAAAATAAAAATCAAACATGTCAGATATGCCTTTTTGATGTTTTATTCAATACAGTTTGATCTCAGACAGGTATTTTG